TATGCGTGTGTGTCTATATATATATATATATATATATATATATATATATATATATATATATATATATATATATATATATATATATATATATATATATATATAGTAGCTCTTATTTAATGCGTATGTTTTAGGGCTCCTTTGGAAAGCAAAACAAAGTTGGTGTGATGCATATGATTTTAGTAAAATTTGAAATGAAAATTTTTGGAAAAATATGAAATAATGACTGTTAGTGTGTGAATAGCGGAGAATGGTTATATGCCGATGTTAATTTCATGAGTTGTTCTTGTTATTCGTGATGTAGTTGAGTTGTATAACTATTGTTGGCATTATTTTTTGATAAAATAAATAGTGTGTCAAAATGTTTTTGCATTTAGGTGTTTTGTTTTAGTAAAGAATTGTAACATCTTGTTTGTCATCTCAAGCCACAAGTAGTTCGAGTTCCAGTGAAATGCTTCTCCATAACCAAAGCTATTTTTGCAGAAAAAGCTGCATGTCACCATACGCTTGTCCATTTTAGAGAATTTCTGGTGCCCCATTTGCAAAATTGATGATTCCTACCATTTCTAACCCCTACCCCACCATAAGTCCTCCTCCAAATGTGTGACTGTTATGCAATATGACAATGTGGGAGGGGGGCAGGAGTGTGGCTAGGATAGGGGGTTTAGGGGTGGTTAGGGGAGTAGAAACCATTAATTTCGCAAATTGAGCACCGGCAGTGCCCCAATATGACAGTGACATTGGAGTGTTATCGTACTCTGGTGTCACTAGAACATATCCGTATTTATCAAGGTAAACGTATTAAAATATTTTTTTGATATAATTGTGTCATTTCTTATTTAATAAACCTTTTATTCTAGTCTTTGTTTAAAATAAATTAAATGAATTTTTTTTAAAATGAATACTCCGTAATTTGTCCTGAATAATGTCATTGGTGAGACTAGTGTGACACAATCAACCTTAATTTGAAAAGGAGTATCTACGTTTTACTCAAGAAAGAGTAAAGGCCATTTTATTTGGGCATTTGAGTCAAATAAATATTGGAAATCCGCGCAGTGTGAGCGCGTTGAATTTAAATAGAGAAACGGTGCACTTTCTCCCCAGCTTCATTTTTCATGGGCTGGGCCGCTTCCTTTTACGCGTCACCGTGGACCAACTTTTCCCAAGTCCAAATTCTGTTTAAAGAAATTCAGATCCATTGTAATCAAATGAGAAAAAGATATAGGAAGATGCTAGGTGTACTCCAAATGTCCCCCACCCCCTCCATAATCACTCATTTTTATTTGATTTTTTATTTTTTTTTGAATTTTTTTGCCTTTTTTTATGGACATGGAGGGGGTGGGGAACATTTGGGATACACTTTTGGTGTACCCTTAGTATTTTCCAAAGATATACTCCAAAGAGACAAAAAAAATGTTTATTGGTAGTTTCTACTCCCTAATTCTCTGGATAACTCACGTCCAGCCTGACTCGGATCGACTTTCCCACTCCAAATTGCACTTCACGGAAACTAGTTGATTTTGGAGTCAAAAATTAAATAAATTTTATAGGTTGAATTGGAGGGAATGGAGGGGGAGTAGGATTACCAGAATGGTTAAAAAGGGTATTAATCATCAATATTTTAATACGGTGCTCCGAGTCATCATATGATATTGAAGTCTAATGTCACTTGATGCAGTGTGATTTTTATAAGGCCCAATGTTTTTCTTACATTCATTATTTTAACTGTTTGATATCTTTATAATGTATAAACATTAATGATGAAACTTTGAATACCTCGTCACGAAAAATTAAAAATAGTATTTAAAAAAAAAATTAAGTCTTTTTGCACATGTACCGTGGAAATATCTTTCTTTTTTTTTGGGAGTGGAAATGTCGAATTAATTATTAATCTCCCCTAAAATTCATTTACTTTTAATATTTCTTCTCCTAATCCAATTAGAAAATCTAAATATTAGAAGAAAAAAAGTCTATAAAAGGCAGCTTCCCCCAAATTCATTACTCAGTCCTACCCATCACCCAACCAATTCTTTTCTTGACTTGAACTTCAATCAATTTCAATTTCCTTCCGGCGTCTTTCCGGCAACCTGCGAGGATGGGTAAGCGTTGTGGGATGATGGTTCTGTTCTTGATTGCTCTGGCCCTGTCGGGGGCTTCTTCCT